AAAAAAAATTATTGCTGTACCTGTCTCCCAATTAATCACATATAATCCCAAGTAAGCATCTAATACATATAATTCATTTGTTTTTGGATGCAGCCTGAAAGTATGCACTTTCTATGGCGTGTACGACCCCCTGAATTTCTTTCCACATTTTCAAATATTTTTTCTTTCTCAAAATTCACCTCATTCCTAAAGGTCGACCACACTTCGGCATAGACCTGTATGATCCATCACATCCTTCTAGTGAAGTGAGCCGCACAGCGCGAAGGATCTTCGGCTTGAAAAAAATGTAAACTCGTAAAAAACGACAATTGTTGAGTGATTGCGTTGTCATACCTGCTTCTCCTTATAATTAATCTCACAGATGAGACCAGTCTTCAGACCTGTGTACAGCTTGTCGCTTTTACGATCAATGGCGATACACTCAGGCCCATAAACTTGATCATCTAAGATTAGCTCGGCCTTTGACAGTCTGCCATTTGGAGCTAGTTCGCCTTCGAAAGTGGGGGGTTTGGGCAGTCTGAAAGGAAGAGATAACCAGATGTAGCGATTCTGAAAGGGATTAGAGCTAACTGGTATGCGACGGCATTTATAGGGCTGGAAACGAAGAGATGGGTGCAGGCGACTGCGATGGCCAGAGAGGCCACAACTGCCGAGACTACGAGAAGCGGTCTACTCCTAACTTCGCTCTGAAATAAATATAGTATTTTCTAAAGAAAAGTCATATTTTTGAGGTTTTTCGTTGTTACAGTCGAATTTTCGACGAGTTACTTCCCTTGAGCAAACTCATACTGGTGACGATGATGATGAAAATGGCGGAATGCGGAAATGTTGCGAAATTGCATTAACAAAAAATACGGTAAAAATTCGCCTGCACGGAAAAAGTTGTATCTTGCACCTACAGAATCTACTAATAATAAATCAACATGTCGTTAGCTAAGCATGACCAAACGGCCACTACTGCTTTCAAATTATCAACGCTTCCTGTCAATCACTAGTAGCAAAATATGTTTCCCATTGTGATTTTCGAAAAGACTTTGTGCCATTTGAGTGGTGATTTTTTTTTGTCATACACCGCATGCCAGAAACTAAGAACAAAACAGAGAGCACACACAGCGAAGACCCTGAGTGTGCAAACAAGTGGTCGTATGAAAAACACTCGGTAAAAATGGATTTTTTAAGGCGGTTCCAGCAGTTTCTTATCTGGCAAAAAATGTTCAAAATTCTTCCTCCAACTTGCTATAAAAGGCATTCAACACTGAGACTTTTCTAGCAGTTGCAGCATGTTTTTCTAAAAGAATCTAAAGCGTTCATATTTATAGCTAGCAATGAAAAATTATCGTTTCGTTCAAGGACCGACGCATTTGTTGCAATAGCAAGTCGCTGCAATTGCTATAACAGCAATACATCCTTCTATTGTAGGGCGCCACATCTTGTTGCAACAGTGCCGTTGTCTGGTTAACACATCTTCTTGCAACAACGTCTTGCCGCAACAGCAACTAGGTCCTTCTGTTGTCGGACCAATACGTCTTGTTGCAACTACGCGTCGCTGCAACAGCAACCACATCACTCTCTTTCGGG